AAGACAGATGGGGCCAGAGGGGCAGGAAAAGGACACCAAGCACAGGATTATAGCTACGCAAGGTTCATTATCTCTTTCATCTACTTCCTAGTTTCTCAATTCTCTATCCAGAAATAGGTTCACCTTTAGAGGACAGAGAATCAGCTAATTCTTCTAGAGTCTTACAAGGAATGTATGCATTCACCCTAGCTAGGTCAAGTGGAGTATTTTTATTTGGACTGAAGCCAACTCTATGGCCAGGCTGAATATTGTAAAAAGTGGGGAGGAAGGAACATCACACGTGATACAGATAAGCAAATAAATGAGCTTCTGGAGGCTGTAGAGAAGGAAAAAGAACAAAAAGTGTGAGTAATAAATAGATGAAATATAGACTTCAAGTAAACTAGAAGAGGATGCAGGATCAATTGCATGGTGATTCAGACAAAATTTGAACACCTTCTGAAAGAGCCTGCCTGGTTTAACTTTGAAGCATTTGCTGCACTATTCAACTCTGGAAACAGTTCCCTCCAGAGGTGTTCAATCTTGTACATTAAAATGTTCATGCTTTTGCAGAGAGCCATATTTTCACTTCTTTTAGTCTAACAAGTCTTACAGTGTTCAAGTGTTGGCGATAAATTATTTCAGCTTTTGTATGTCTGAAAAAGTCTATACCTTCATTTTTTAAGGCCTATTTGCTGAGTACAGAATTGTAGTTTGACAGACCTTTTTTCTTTCAGTACTTTGACAATGTTCCATCATTCATATCTTTGTTTCTTTGTAGGTAACATGTCTTCCTCCTCACTCCCAGCTTCTTTTGTGATTTTCTCTTTATCATTGATTTGATCAATTTGATTATATCATGTCCTAGTGTAGTTTTCATGTTTCTTTTACTTTCATGTTTCTTTTACTTGGGCAGGTCACTTGAATTTGTCCCAGAATTTACTGATGCCTTTTTTTTTTTTTTTTTTTTGAGTTGGAGTCTCGCCTTGTCAGCCTGGCTGGAGTGCAGTGGCACAATCACTGCTCACTGCAGCCTCAACCTGCCAGGCTTAAGCTATCCTCTCACCTCAGCCTCCAGAGTAGCTGGAACCACAGGTATGTACCAGCACACCTGGCTAAAGTTTTAATTTTGTGGTAGAGACAGAAACTTGCTATGTTGCCCAGAGTAGTCTCAAACTCCTGGGTTTAAGCGATTCTGCCTCAGTCTCACAAAGTGCTGGGATTACAGGTGTGAGCCACTTCACCTGCCCTGATGCTCTTTTCATTAAAACATATATTTTTAAAATTCCTTCTGTTGCTCTTTTCAAATGCACTAACCTTTTCTTCCACAATGTTTAATCTGTCATTAATCTCTTTCAGGGGATTTTTCAACTCACATATTTGAGATTTCATCTCTAGAAGTCAGATTATTTTTACATCTTCCAAGTCTCTTACATTTTTGAACATATGGAATACAATTGTAATCACCGTTGTAATGTCTTGTCTTCTAATTGTAACATTTGTTATAATACAGTTCTGGGTTAATTTCAGTTTATTGATTTTTCTTTTCATCATGGTTCATGTTTTACTTTTATATGCCTAATAATCTTTGGCTGGCCGCTAGAGATTGCAAATTGATTTTTGTGAATATAATTTTGAATTTCTATCAGTATTTTCAAGTTTCATCTGAGACACATTTACTTGGAAAATGTTTCATTTTTTGAGGACTTGCCTTTAAGATTCACTTGCAAGACCAGAGCAGTGTTTAATCTAGGGATAGTAGTTTTCCATTACTGAGGCAAGGCCCTTCTGATACTCTATCCAGTGATTTGCAAATGGAACTTTTTCAAATCTGGTGAAAACAGGCAACATTCCCAGCCCTGTGTGTGCTCTAAGTATTCTTCCCACTAACCCTTTCAGATGATTCTTTCCCTTGCCTTGTGTATTTTCCTTACAACAATGCATGGATCAATACTTTGCTAAATATGCAAGAGTCCTATCTACAGATCTCTGGAGTTCTTTCTTTTGCAGTTTGTCTCTCAGATCCTGTCACCTATAAGAGTTATTCCTCAGCTTTCAGCAATCGCTCTTCCTTGTTGCAGAATATCCACTGTCTTGCAAACCATTATTTCATATATTTTATCTGTTGAATTTTGTTTGTCTTTCTTTTTTTGGTTGTTCTTGTCAAGATGTTAAATCTTGTCCCTGAAACTCCATAAAAGTCCCCCAGTCAGGAAATCTTAACTAAGAGAATCATTCATGTTTAATTCTGACCTTGATCTTGATTGGCTTATGTTTTTGAGCCAACCTACCTTTATTAATTAGTGTGACCTCTAAATTTATTGGAAAAATGGATTAAATATTAGCTAGCACTGTTCAATTTAAGATATTAGAGATTTGGAAGATGATAATTACAAATTCTTGACATAAAATTGTCAATTTCTTCTTTTTTTTTTTT